GGGCCACTTTGACTTACTTGGGTAAGGTGGCTGGACAGGGCCAGGTACATCCAGTAAGAGCTAAAGTGGAAGCTACTGATCACTTCAATTCTCCCACTACTGAGAAAGAACTTCCACACTTTCTTGGAATGGTGGGTTATTATTGTGGGTTTTGTGAGAATTTCTCTGCAGTGGTTGCTCCTCTAACTGACTCCTTAAACCCCAAGGTTATGTTCCAATGGTCAGATCATTATCAGACAATCTTTGAGGATATCAAGGCTATCCTTGCCTCTGCTCCAGGGCTTGAGAGACCCCATCTCAGAGATTCTTACAAGCTGAAGGTAGACGCTAGCAAAGTGGATCCTGGGGCAGTATTGTTGCATCAGGATGGAGCAGGTATTGAGCTACTTCTCCCACAAGTTTTATTCCTGCCAGTTAAATTAGTCTATTTTGTAGAAGGAAACTCTTGCTTCAATTTTGTCTTCTTATGCCACGAGAAGTCCTCTTGTGGCATAAGAATCCAACTCAACACTTGATGACATGGCTCTTATTTTTACAGCCTTACCATATGCACATCTGACACCTGAAGGCTTCGGAAAATGTGACGGCTGACGCTCTTTCTAGAACTTTATGTTCATCATAATATGTTTTTTTTAGTTTAAAAAATTTCTGGTGTTTCCATCTTCCATTCTCTTAAATATGCTTCATAACTACCAAATTATTGCTAGGGATGTTGGTGAGTAGCAGAGTTGGTGTAAATAGGAACTGAGTTTTCACTGGTGCACTGATAAGCACATTTGAACTTCATGTGACTCATGGGTAGCGCTGTCAATTGTTCTCATTTCACCCCTGACTTGTTGACATTTCTGTTTCCACCTTTTGTAAATAAATTTTAATAAATAATCATATCTTTATATTGTTCATATCTTCGTTGTGTAAACTCCTTTTTGTTGCAAGCAAGAGTCAGGTGATGCAACAGAGATTGTGTTTTGGACAAAAACAGTGAAGATTACACAATGAAATAAGACTTTCATCTAAAAAGTTTTTAATTAAACAGCCTACACAAAACATCAGCATCATAATAGAAACAGGAAATGATACGATACAGCAGTGAGAGCTAAAACCTTTTCTGATTTAGCAGTCCAACTTCCCCATTATGTGTCAGACGGGAAAAACAAAACAATTTCCACTGTTGTCTTCCTCAGATTAATAGCACTTGAAGCGCATCCACTCTGAGTTCAGGCCATTTTCATGTCTCAAGGAAAAACTTATGAAAGAGGTAAGACTCTGTTTATAAACCCTAACAATATTATTTGCGTTTACTGGAGAGAAAAAATATGACACAAATGTGGTCACATTAAATCAAAAAATCTGTTATTTTGCTTTAAAGCTGTTGAGATGTAGCTGACATTAAAACACACACTTAAAAAAATCTCAGGATTAAAATCCAAATCAGTTAAGCAGTATCAAGGTTTTTCTCAGAACTAGATTTTGTAATGATGGAAACCTAGCACACTGAACTGTCTTATATTTATTTTTATTATCTATGTTGCATTTATATGTTGTTTGCTCTTTGGTTTTTTGAGAGTAATATTGATGTCAATGGCCAAGAAAATGCTTTTTTTTATAAGAAAGCTATAGATGATTGGTTTTGAAAATACAAATCAAATTTTGTACAATTCAAGGAAAAAAAAAATTGTGCTACTTAGATGAAACCCTCGAGCTGGCTGAGCCAGTGTCCATTAGATAATCCAGCCCATACTGTCACCAAAGCAAGTAGCTCCATTTTGTAATGGTTAACTCATTTCCCTTTCAAGTCAAGTTATAATGCGGTTGACTCATAATGATGTTCTTAGGCCCAGATAGATGCTGTGTCAGGAAGAACATGTGATGCAAAATCTGTGCCAAATCAAACATACCGATTCTCCCACAGCGAATCATCTCAGAGATTTACCCTTTGAATTTGATTCGATTCAGTTTTATTTATATGCTGTCAAATTACAACAAAGACCAAGACAATAATACATAATACAACCCCAACTTTCAGACAAGCCCTGAACAGCAAGCACTTTGGTGACAGTGGGAAGGAAAAAAAACTAACTTTTAACAGGAAGAAATGTTGAATGCTTATAAATCTCAATTTTTACTAATTTTTGTTTTTTCTTTAAAGTTGTAGGAATATGCTGACCTAGTTTTGTTATGTAAATTTGTAATTAATTTTTGGAACAGTTTTTGGAAAGTGATTGGTTTATTAGCATATGGACCCTCGCATTAATCAAGGGATTAAGAGCACCCTGGAGGGGTGTGGTAAAGAGGTTTTTTGTTTGCCAAGTGTCAGATGGGACGACGGGAGGGTCTAAAAAAAAATCTGGCCACTTTTTGAAGTTGTGAAAATAAATTAAGTTAACTTTCATTTAATTTTAAGTTGTAAGAAGTTATTTGGTTGATTTTTGTTTATAATTTTCATTGCATTCTAAAACAAACCTTCTGTTGCCACCCATGGCCTTTTCTTGGACTTTTTTGGTGTTTGGAGCATAAAAGGCCATGACAACCTGTTCAGGGTATACCCTGCGTTTTACCCTATCATAGCTAGGACAAGATCCAGCACCCCCTGTGATGATGATAAAGACAACCAGAGGAGACTGGGTGGAAGGATGGATGGATTGACCTTTCTGCAATTCTGAAATCTGTCTAACTTCCCTCTGTGCTGCCTTGATGTTGGCATCTAGTCTTGCTGTTCTTTGTGATTGTTATTAGTCAAGCATATCAGGGATCACTGTAGCTGTGGCATAGACCAGCTAGTTGGTTTCACTAACGGTAATGCTGCATTCACATCTGCTAGTAGACATTTACAGGGTAATTCACGTAATTTTGGTAATAAGCACAGAGGGTCCAGGTTTAGCCAACTTAGCCATGATCTTCTCTTTCAGGTCAACTGCTCTCACATTCAACATACCAGTTGTTTATGGGGCTTGCCAGCTGATCTTGAAGGGTGGAGATAATTATATCTCACTCCTGATTTTAAATCCTGGCTCCACCTTGCCATAGCATTTGTGTTCTACTTCGTCCTTCTCCAGCTGTGATAGCAGTTACTTGCGTATCACTGAGCTACTAGTTGTTTTGATGTTAGTCTAGGTGGGTTTCAATTTGTATCCTCTTCATGTAACCTTCTGGATTAGATGAAGCTTTCACTGAAGTTAAATGTATAGTAGGATTCCAGCAGTTCACTATTCTGATTTGTTGTTCCAGTGAAACCTCTGAGACATACCGATTAGAGGTGTGTCTCAGAGGTTTACTGGAACAACAAATCAAAATCACGAATTTTTCATCACTAGTTGCAGCAAATCTCACGCTGTTTTATTCTGTGCTAAAATGATGACATGGTAATGTAATCAGACTAATACCTTCAATTGTATTTTTTATCCTGCCCGACTCAGGTATATTGAACAACAGAATACCCCCATCTCTAAGTGGAAACAGTACTGCTTCCCAAGATCAACATGCTAGCTACAGGAGTTTGGCCTCTGCTGCTTTTCTCGCTTCTTTTGTGTTTCCTTCATTGTGAACATTTACTTGCTTTTTCACTGAAAAACTGCACAATTATCTATACAGAAAAATCGAATGTGTTAGTCACTTGCACAGAGCGTTACCTCACTGCTATTCCAGATGACATTCCCAAAAATGCAGTATTGCTAAATCTCAAGTCAAACTACATTTCAAATATTACCAGGATGAATTTGGAAGGTTTATTCAAGCTTGAAGTTCTAAATTTGGAAAAAAATTGGATTTCACAAATTGATGGTGAAGCTTTTGCAGACTTGGTAGAGTTAAAGGTTCTCATCTTGAGTATAAATAGGCTCGCAACACTGACAGAAAACATGTTTCAGGGTCTTTCCAAGTTAGAGACACTGTCTCTGGACTGGAACCAGATCTCATTTATCTCCCCTGTGGCCTGTCAGCCCCTGGTCAGCGTACACTCAGTAGATTTGAGCTATAACCTTCTGCATCAAATGTCAGATATTGATCACATTATTAGACTCCCAACTTTACAACATTTGTTTGTATGTTACAACAACTTTACTTCTTTTCAGTCAAATGACCTCCATGTAAATACCTCAAACCTACTCACCCTGTGTTTGGATTCAGTGAAAAAGTTCAGCATTACAAGAGACATTTTTCCTCATCTGCAGTCTCTGGACTTGCGAGGCTGGAACAGGGACATCGAGTGGGAAGTGTCAAACAAGACTTTTTTAAAGAGCCTGACGAGACTGCAAATGAGTGAAACTTCTCTTAGCTTTGATGTGTACAGAGCGATTCTGCAGACTGCTTACTCTCTTCAAGAGCTTCAGATGGATAACATGAAAAAGTGGATAGATGATGATTTCATAGACGTCGCCTGCAAAATTCCTTCTCTAAGAACTCTGAATGTAAGCAGTAGTGAGATTTACACCTTAAAGGAGAACATGCTGCAGTCTTGTTCTCACCTAACTAACCTCAACTTATCATTTAACAATATAAAAAGCATGGCTGATAATGCACTCCAGTCAATGACACAGCTCAGAAGCCTGATATTACAAAATAATGAACTGTCCGAACTGCCAGTGGCCGTCCAAGGACTCACCACATTGGAAGTCTATGACCTTAGCATCAATGACATCAGTGAACTTTACTGTCCTTACTTCTGGAATTTAACAAGCCTAACAATACTCGATCTGAGCCACAATCATATATCCTATATCTCTGACTGTGTTTTTGAAAATTTAAACAATTTGAAAATCCTAAATCTTGAAAACAATAAGATTTCATCATTCGATTATTCTTTTAAATTTAAATTACAGACATTGGAGTTTTTGTATTTGAAAAACAATGAGCTTATAAATCTCTTTCAAGGAGTCTTCATTAATCTGTCTTCCCTTCGTTATTTGAATTTAGATGTACGCATGTGTAACAATGTTGAGGAAGGAGGGTTAAAGGGACTCTATAACCTCCAGTTCCTTCTTATGCAAGGTGATATTTATTTTTATGAGCATTTCAGTGGGCTGCCAAACTTAAGCACTCTGATCCTAAATGTTGTCTCTAGCCTGCCACATAACAGCTCCAAACAAAGCGATAACCCTTTCTCAAATTTACCGAAACTGAAGAAGCTTAATATCAAGGTTCATAGAGGATATTACGATATTTCAAAAGATGTTCTCAGTGGTCTGACTTCTTTAGAGTACTTAATAACAGAGGCATACTTCATGGGATCTTTGCATCCAGACACATTTAAACACACACCGCAACTGAAACATCTCACAATTACTTACAGCGAGCTTTCAGTTTTAACATCTGACGTGTTCTTGCCAATTCCAAACCTGATAATACTCGACCTCTCCAACAATAAACTCAGGTCTTTGGATTTTCTAGCAGAGGCCAAACTGTCGGCACTCAGATGGCTCGATGTCAGCAACAATGAATTGTTCGTAATCAGTGAAACAGTTATCCAATCCCTTTTAACCATGAAATATCTGGATCTGTCTGCTAACCTTTTAACATGTGAATGTTCTAATTACGGTCTTATCCAGTGGATTCAAGGCAGCAAACAGACACAGGTTGTTAATGCACATCAGTACACTTGTGCGTTTCCTGTCAGCCAACGGGGAAACAAATTCCTTGACTTTGGTTTTGACTCCTGTCGGATAGATGCTGCATTGCTCTGCTTCCTTTTTAGCTCTAGTCTAGTTATGCTTACTCTCCTCGCATCCTTCATCTATCACTTCCTGAGGTCACACCTCACATATGCCTATTACCTCTTCCTGGCCTTTCTCTATGATAATAAGAGGAGGAAGAAAGGTATTCCTCACAGCTACGATGCCTTTGTCTCCTACAATGTTCATGATGAAGCTTGGGTCTGTGGAGAGTTGCTTCCAGAGCTGGAGGGTCAACAGGGCTGGAGACTCTGTCTGCACCACAGAGACTTTGAACCAGGTATAGATGCTTTTCATTAGCCTCTGTTCTACTTTTAGCTCAATATTTAATGAAGCTAGCACACAAACTCTGTGTCTTCTTTCCTATAAATACAATTGTTTCTTTTTGTTCCGCTTTTCAGTGGTACCGAAAAAGATCAAGTTTTAACACCACAGTATCTTTTTTTTCTCTTTGACAGCACTGCAAAAATATAAACAGCGTCTACAGTGTCAAAACAAAAATAGCAATGACATGTGACTCACAAACTGCAGTTTGAATGCTAGATCTAAAAGACTGACCATTTAGAGAAACGCTACAAACTGATCTTTAAACCTCAAAAAGTAGTATATAGATGTGCTACTCAACTGTCAAAGCATCCTACATCTGGGAAAATGAAAGGTTTACTCTGGAAGAACTTTTTTTTTTTTTTGCTGAAACCATGAACAAGCCCCTAGAAGGCCATGTGTACCCAAAGCTTTAATTAAATTGAAAACATCTAAGTTTCTTCCATATTTAAAATCTGAAAACATGAAATTACTTTCATTGATTTTTTTACTGCATTGAAAAGAGAAAAGCACCAAAGATGTATTTTGCACTTACAGGCCTGTAAGAAATTCTTCACTAAATTAGATTTCGGCAAACGTAAAAGTTGAATACTGTAGAATCTTTTAGCAGCTGCCATTAGTAAATTGGGCACTTTTAGACAGACTTTAAAAATGTTCAGCCAGAGACAATCATCCATCTCCACTGTTCTCCATTGAGCTTGTCAACTGTTCCAATCCAACACAAATATATGTAGCTGCCCAATTAACAAAGTATAGACTTAAGAATTTCACAAAAGAAAATTATAGATTCTCATTAGCTGGAATTTGATTCAGCATCAGTGTACGTGTCAGGGTTTCTGGGTCGTTGACCCAGTATTTTCAGTTCATGTTCACTGTTTATCCTCTGTACGTTCCACTTCCTGTTTTGTGTTACGTTACTCTGTGTGCATTATGTTCTAGTTCTTATTCCATGCATCGTTAGTTCAATTGTGTTCAGCTGCTCACTCACCTGTCACCTGTCAGTCATTGTTCAGCCAGTGTATTTAAGTCCTCAGTTCTCTCCTGGTCGGCGTCGCATCATTGATGTTGTCACTGCTGTCTATGCCCCATGTTTGCCTTCCAAGTTCAGATCACTCAGCCGTTCAGCCAGTCAGCCAGTCAGTCAGCCATCTCCTGTTTTCGTCATTCGTCCCTCACAATAAACACCCTGAATCGTCACCGTGAGTCCTGCGTTTGAGTCCTTTTCTCCACATCCACTCAGCAACCCCTGACAGTATGCCTCAGTGACTTAAAAAATAGTTTTTTGCTTACTCACCATTGCTAAAAAAAAAAAAAAAAAAAGTACAACCAAGGTTGGAGTGAATGGAATTTAAGCCCCACTATTCTCAGAAGTGAGAACACCTTAGAAATCTTTTAACTTGTACAAAGCTAAATTTTATGTAACTTGTGTCATTTTAGAACACAATGCTGACATGTTTGATGTGTCAGATTTTTGTTTTTACAGGTAAGCCCATCGTCGAAAACATTACAGAGGCTATCTATTGTAGCAGAAAGACTATCTGTGTGATCAGCCAGCATTACCTGCAAAGTGAGTGGTGCTCCAAAGAAATCCAGATGGCCAGGTATGGTTATCAACTCTTTGTTCTTACATGCAAGGATGTCACCAGTTTCTACATTGATTAATCTGCGTGTGGTGTCTTTAGCTTCCGTCTCTTCAATGAGCACAAGGATGTGATGATCATGGTGTTTCTGGAGGACATACCAGCCAAGCAGCTGTCTCCATACTTCCAAATTAGGAGTCTGGTGAAGAAGCGTAGCTACCTGAGTTGGCCACAGGCTGTTCATCACACTGGAGTCTTCTGGCAGAAAATACAACAAGCTCTCAAGAGAGAAGAAAACCCTGCTGAGCACAGGTGCCTCCTCACTGGCTACCAGAGAGTCATCCAGTGAGATTTAACCCAGGTGGAAAAATCACAGATTGTATATATATATTGTGTATATATAAACAGAGCGGTCACGCTAATGCAGGAGTGGCTAAAATGCATTACTTCTAATGCCCAGCAGGGGGAAACTCCTCTGGCTTCAATAAGGTTGCTTGTCGAAGTCTATGGGTAAACATGGTAGCTTCTGGATCAGAGAGGTGAAGCTCCTGCAGAAGTGGATAAACTTGCAGTACTTCTAATGCCCAGCAGGGCTCCTGTGGTTTCAATAAGGTTGCTTGTAGGTGTCTAGTGGCAAACAGCCCTATGGTGCCTTGACCTGTGACCTCAGCAACATTTTGTTGTCTGGTGGACTTTCCTGGAGTTTATGGACTCAGTCAAAAGTGTCAAGTCTTATTTCATGTTGTCTGTTTTATAAATGTAGAACTCAATGTAACAAGAACTGTATGTGCATTTTTATTAACACATGTACACAATTGTAACATATTAACGTGTTTGTTGTGCTCATCCTGTCAGGAGTAAATATACTAAATGACATTTCTTGCCATAAAACTGTGAATAAACTTTTTTCATAGCTGATGTGCTTAGAAATGAAATGCTATTATAATCTGATATAACAAAATAATAATGAGACTGATGAAGAGGAGCACTTACTTGAACTGGCTACAGGCTGTTCAACACACTGGTAAACAGCCTTCTGCCAGAAGACTAAATGTATTTTCTAGTTTATCATCTCATATTATTTGTATTTACAGATATAATTAATTGTGTGTTACAAAAAATATAACATGTATGGTTTCTTGTTACTTGTACTAAACTGTCACACGGTCACACGGATGTATCCTTGCTGTCCTAATGCTTAGGCAGCACACTGCTGGTTTCCTTGATACGTCACCTGACTATCACACTACCTGAGGGCTGGAGTGACAGTCAGCAGCAGCAGTGTTTCGGTAGCTCATGCTTTTTTGTTGTTTTTTATTGATGCTCTGATGATGTGGAATAGTATGAGTTTTTGCACTATATCATTTTACTGGCATGTGGAAAGTGTGTTTAAAATAAAGGTAATTCAGTGGTTTGTCTCTTTACAGAAGTTTCAGAGTTTTGAAATAGGTTCAAGGTTCCATTATCCTCATGAAAATTAAGATAAATAATAAACAATAAAATAAACTGCCTGTCACCAACATAAAACAACTATAGTGCAGCATATTGAAACATTTAAACTGGAGCAGCATTTTAAAATTATAGCAGCACAGTGACAGCATTTAAAAAAACACACAAAAAACAGATTCGTGTGCTTAAATACAAAGAATAGTAGCATAGTAGAAGCATAGTAAATAAAATAAAACCGAACAAAAACAGTGCAGCGCATCAGAACAACTGAGTTATCAGTGAGCAATGGAGTTGATCAGTCTTACGGCCTTAGAGCCTCCTGCCTGTGTGGTGGGAGGGTATCAGTTTATGATACTGACCGCAGTGCACTGTGTGAATGCAGAAGTCTTGGGTGCAAACTGTACAGCTTCCTCATGAAGTGCTTCATTAAACATTGATCTGAAGTGACTCAAATGAATTTGACAAAGTGAAACTTAATAATGGTAATAAGGTCACAGGCCTCACTTTTGCCATCGAACAGCTTGTCAGTCGACTCTTATCAACTGTGAACCCCTGAAAATGGAAAACTGTATATTAAAATGTCTCTAATTTCTAAACACCTAATGCAATACTTTAGTCAAACTTTGAATCAAAGGTGAAAGACTGCACTGTAATTACATCTTGATTGTTTGATTTTAATTCCCCTGTCGTCTGCAAATGCAGTTTCTCTAACAAAGGATAGAATAGAATAGAATAGAATAGAATAGAATAGCGCTTTTATTGTACATGTACAACTAAATTATGGAATTATGGGTGCTCCACGACAACTGTGTAGGAATAAAATATAAATAGACAGCAGGAATAAATAACAAACAGGAGAAATGTAGATATAATCAAGAGAAAGACACATTGGAGAACAAAGTGTTTGGAACTAGTACAAGTTATTGAGTTATGGGGGTTAGTCAGACTGTGGCACAGATTGGTGAGGTGAGTGGGCAGGGGTAGCATTGGGGGGGGGGGGGGGTGTAAGGGGTGTAAGGGGTCACCTGTGACAGCACTGTTTTTCCTGAGATAGGAGGATCTGCGGATTTTTTTGGGCAATGTTATTTACACTTTGTGTGGCCTTCCTGTTCTCCTCGTGGCCCCTGTGTACCAACCCAGGCAGTAGAAGAGCAAGCTGTTGGGTCTGTGCTTTCAGCAGGCCCGCTAGTTCAGAGCAGGGCTGGACTGGGACAAAAAATTGGCCTGGGCATTTTGACTGGTGACCGGCCCTTTGAGCGAGTACTTGGTGACTGTGGAAAGGAAAAACCCAATTTTAATAGAAATAAGCCTCCAGCAGAACCAGGCTGAAGAAGGAACAGTCATCTTCTGTGAACAGCTGGGGGTTTGAACACCCCATTATGAACATTGTATCATTTGTCTTACTAAATTCAAGTAATGGAGGGAAGACAGAACCCTGAATGCCTGATTTCACAGACGTCATCTCCCAAATTCCTCCTCTAGTAGTTTTTGATGTAATATTTGCGAAAACTGGCGCTCTAAATGACATCCTGCTAAAGTCTTGGTCTAATCTCACTGAGCTCAGTTACTTGGTCCCAGTTGCTCTCTTTGACCTCAACTCTTAGACCTGAGCTTCAACATTTTCAGCGAACTAACATACTGAAAATCAATTACATTTTCAAAATCTGAACAATTTGACAGTTTTGAAAACAAAATCTAATTTTATTTGTTGGTAAAACCTTAAATTTATAAAACCTGCAAAAAACAAAGCTTTTAAAAGGGTTCAGGCATTTTTTTTTCACCTTTGTGACTCACATGCTGCCATTTTCTGTGGCTAGACAAGCTTAATAATGGCATCATCCTTGTCAAATGGGGATAGATACATACCATTGTCTTGGACACCCCTGGGTGAGGAAACTTTTGTGCAGTAATGTACATGACATTTCACACAGGATATACAGAAACATGAAGTATTATTAGTGAGTGTTCTTAAAGACCACAAAGTAGAAACAGGAAGCAAGCAACCCACTTGTGCACACAAGCCTTAAGATATTCACTGTGAGATGTGAGGGCAGGGAGGATGGCTGCAGAGCACAACTTGTCTGGACTTCAAAAATGCTAAAATGTTTAAATCAATTAAAAGATCTCTTTGAAAAATCCTTTTCAATAAATAAAATTGGACAACGGTCGAGGCTCATCTAAAATACTGGGGAAAAAACTATGAAAAAACAAAAGGAAAAACGAAGACAAGCATGCAAGCTGCAGAAAGTAAATTTTTTTTCATTGTGGTGTCTTACTTCATGGACCAGTCATACTTGGGTTTCAGTAGACAGACTGCAGAAGTAGCAGCATCTGTGGGAGTGAACCATCCAACTTCCTCTTCCTTGTACAAGTGATTCACTCTGAATTTACTCCATTATATTTTGTCGGTTTGACCTCAATGGTTACAGCTTGGTTTTTTATTTTGTTCTGCTATCAAGCTGGTGACAGAAACAACTTTTTTTTGGAATAGGTAAGTTTCTTTTATCTTGTTTAATGAAAAACCACTGACCTTGCATATATATATATATATA